TTGGGCAACCACGCCCAGATGCCAAGAGCTTCTTCACAATAATTTAGCTTTCCAAAAAAATCTGAATGAAAAAGTATAACTTTATGAATGAGGCAGAAAATAAAAAAGTTCTTCAGTATTGATCATATTATAGAACCAGCATGGATATCATTCTTGTCAATTAACAGATGCAGATAATTAAATCTCTGACTCTCTTCACAGGTAATGGGTAAAATAATACCTAGACATGACTGTAAGAAATTAAAATAAAATCAAAACTATTAAACTCTAAAGATGCTAAAGCACATGTTTGGCCTATCATTTTGCCTACAAATAATTTCCTATGGAATACAAACTATTTCAAATGTAAAAATAAATAAATTAAATAATGATGTAAGATGAAAAGATGAAGGGCCTGTAAATGTTTGTTTCATATTAGAAGTGCTTGATAGCATTCTAATGCAAGGTCTTAATTGAGGACTTATTAATAATTGCTGCAAAAATTGCACTTACCAGTTGAACCAGACAACTCAAAACAAATTCTACAATTTTGAAAATAGCCTGGCGCAAGATTTTACACACGAAAAAAAGTGCTTTGTAATTAGGAAATACGATTTTTCATAAATAAACAATACAATTATAATACATTACAAAGGCAAGATATTGCTTTCAAGCTTCTTACAAAGCATCTGAAAGACCCATTTATGGTTCTCCAGCTATCACAGTTTTGTACTAAAAAATCATAGAAAAACAAGAGGCTAATGCAGGAAATTGTGGATGCTAGTATGTGTGATGTTAGGCAAATTTTTAAGAACATTTACTGTGAAATATTAAAGCTGCTCATTCTGATGCTTCCGATGCTAATCATCATTCTGGTGATTATTACCCATTAAAACATTTGGTCAAGAATTATTTCTGATTGTTAAACTAAAGCATTTGAGAAATTGAGGAAAACACATGGCACTTAGGTTGAGCAACAGCTTCAAGAGCCTTCAATTTTGTGCATGTTCATTCTGCTAGGCTTTGTCTTCAGTGCTTGATCAATTAACTGTCATCTTACATGTCATGAACCAAAGAACTAAAGAGCACTAGAACTGACTGTATTGACCAAAGCATGGCGCTCACTGACACTGCTCTAAGGAGGCCGCTCTGCAGAACACCTGGTGACATGCCAGCTAAAGAGATGGACCTTCATGAATTCTTTGTACTTGCTAAGCTTCAGAACACGTGTAATAAATATTCCCAAGAAAAACTCTGATTTCTATATGAAGTCAGTATTTTGCACCAATGCAGTTTTTCAGAATGAATAATGAATATGGGGATGTACTTGTATTTTTTTAGGAAAGTTTGTCCCTTTTCTTCATGTTTATATAATTAATTAGCCTAGTCTAAACAAAATTGTTTTATTTACATCAGATTTGTGATAACAAAATGTTAAAGGATCTTTGTGAGAAAGCGGCAACAGTATATCCTTCAGATTCTTTTCTCCTCCACACACAGTCACTTCATGATTTTCAGATATGGTTTTATAGCCTTATTTTGTTCCCTCGAGCTCCAAGACCTAACACTAAGGGGCACCAGAGAACTGAACTGCATCTGTTCAGATCCATCAGGAACCAGCTGCTGCAACAAACACAGTAAGATTCACTGTGCAGGGTGGAGAGGGAATGGGGCTTTGGGGGGAACATAACAGATGAGACAAGAGTTCTGCATGACACATCCTCTGTTACAGAAAACAGACTGGAAGAGCAAAGATGCACACATCTCAGGAATGCTGAACATCTTCTCATTGTAGTCTATTGTGGGGTTTTGAAAAAGAACTCTCACTATTTTTCCAGACAAAACTTGGGAAATGTGTGAAAATACTGAGATTTTTCATAGAAGACAAGTATATCTAAAAAATCCTAGCAGATTGGAAGCGTATTTTGTTTGATCCTAGTCAAGTGTAAACAGAGGAGCACAGACTTACACTTGCATTCTCATATTAACTTTCAGATGAAGTCTAGATACCAGTATTTTTTATTACCAATTCTAAAATTCAACTATGGAGATAAAGAGCATTTCTGATTTCCCTGTGGATGGCAAAATTGCCTATTACCCTCTCATTTTCCCAACAGGACCACAGGAAAACAATATACATTAAAAAAAAATCAAGCCTATTCGCCTGCTGGGTACTCCAAAACTGACTTCCTTCACCTCTTGACTGCCAAATCAAAAATAATCATGCCAATGCCACATATCTTATACAATGCATTCTGAAAATCTGAAAATGTCAGGTTTCCTGATATCAAAACCTGTTGCTTATTCCAGTTGTTTGTTTGTTTTTGTTTTTTTTTTTCTCTCTCTTTTTTTTTTTTTTTTTTTCTGTTTAATTCCTGCTTTTCTACTGAAAAATGTATAAGCAAAGAAGTAAAATACAATTAAATAAATTACACTGTGAATCAGACAACTCACGTTACTCTGATTAAAAGCTCAGTCATGGTCATCTCTCAGAATGGAAAGCATTACAAAAATGCAGTTACACTACAGGGCCCAGTATGCCAAATCATCAGAATCCAAGCTCCAAGACCAAAATTAATAATGTACCATTAGCGGATGGTGAGAGCTGATTGACTGAGAATTGCAAACTGCATTCTGATTGAGCACTGTAGACTTTTTCTTACAATACCAGCATTTATTTCTGTCTTTTTAAATAGTCTATCAAAACAAAATCCACAGTTAACTTCTGCTCAGTGTAGAATTTGACTCATAGATCTTTTAAGGCCAGATGAGACCATTATGATAATGTGCCTTGACCCCCAGCACTACACGGGGCATAAAGCCTCACTCAGCAATTCCTCCCTCGAGTCTACATCTTCTGTTTGTGTTATACCATTTCCTTCTGAAAGGCATCCAACCTTGCTGTATTTCTCAAAGCGATGGAAATTCCAGTACATTCAGTGGTAAATTCACCCCTCGGTTAATGACATCTGCAGCCAGATAAGTTTCAAGTTTTTTCCTTTCCTGGTCTGGTCTAGTTTCAGATTTAATTTCACAGAACTGGAGAGCCAACAGCTATTAGAAATGATATCACTTTATAGACCATGACCATGTTTGTAAAGAATAAAGCTTTCTTTAACCAAATAACGGGGAAAGCTAGCTTTGGGGGTACAGCATGCACCTTGTTCAAGGGCATTAACCAGTTTTAAATGGTCCTTTCCCTCTGGATGGAGAAAACCTCGGGAATGAGGATAGGCATGTCCTCTAAGACTTTCTCCAATCCAATGGAAAAATAAGAACATACATCTTTGTTGTGCTCTGACTAGAAGCATACATGATGTCTTAAGAGCAAGACTTTGTAACACTAGGCTGGTAGTGGTCTTCATCTGATAACATTCAACCTTTTCTCTTGTCTTGTGACAGATCCAAATGAACCCACTGGTGTTACGTTTAGGTGCCTCAGCAAGCAAGATAAAGGTAATTCAGGGAGTGACCAAATACTATGTTCATTAAAGCAAGAGATTCTACTGGTATGGTCCAGAAGTTAGTGGGATCTCTGCTGTGGGTGTGAGATCACAAGCTATCTGGCTTTCATCACCCTAGTAAGACAGTTAACCATGTTCTCTGTCTCTCTCTCCAGGCAGTGACATCCAAAAGGCTGGCAGCAAAGACTGGCAGCACTCACTCAGCTCAAGCGTGCCAGACCAGGTTCTACAAAACTTCTCATGTGGGATCAGCTTGGGGTTTATGGGCATTTCCCTGCTTACCAACAGGAAGGCAAGGAAGCTATTTTCAGGCATTTTACTGTGGGGCCAAAACCTGCTGGGATCCAGCCCCTGGGGTTTCATGTGCCGTTTGTGATTTGCTAGGACCAGGACAAACATGACAGCAGCCATCACCCTGAATGGACATGGCATTTGGGGACACAGGGGAAGGAGACCCTGCAGAGGAGAGGGGGCTGGAGCGTGGATCTGAGCAGTGCCTTCAGCAAAGGGAAGCAGGGAGGTGAGTGGAAGGAGTTACACTGAAGAGGTCCTTTGGAAGGGCCATGTGGTCCCCAGTGCCTCTCCCACCTCCTCCTCCTCCTCAGGCAGGAGGAGGCAGACTTACTGCTGCTGCCAATGCGCCAGGATAGAGAGATCTCGGCGCGGGAGGAGATGACGCAAAAGGCAGAGCTCCCCCCAAAAAAGTGTTTCTCCAGGACGAAGATGGCGGCAACTTAGCCCAAGGGCCCAAGATGCCTGTGGCCATCGGGGGCCCCCAGCCAGGCAGTTCCGCCCCGTGCGCCCGGGGACACCGCGCCCGGCGGCAGCAGCGGCGGCAGCCGCAGCTCATTGTCACCAGCGGCGGCGGCGGCCCCGGCAGCCTCCTCCTCCTCTTCCTCTTCCTCCTCCTCCTCTTCAGCATCCTCGGCAGCGCTCCGGGAGCCCTGCAGCAGCGTCTCTCCAGTTAGAGCGGAGGGGGGAAAGGAGAAAGCGGGGACGGAGACAGCGGTGCAGCATCTGTGCCGCGGCTTGGGGCTGAGGAAGAGGAGCGGCGGCGGCGGCGGGGAGGAAGAGGAGACGAGGAGCCCTCCCGGAGCCGTCCGTCGGCAGCGGGGGACGCGGCATGCGGCTGTCCGGGGGCAGCGGGCTTTTCTCGGGAGGGAGATGGAGAGCTGCGCTCTGACCATGCCTGGGTGAGAGGGGAAAGGACCAGTCGCTCAGCCCCGCCGCCACCAACTACCACCACCACCACCACCATCTCCTCTCCCTCCTCCTCTCTCTGCGTTACCGCTCTCGCTTTCTCCGCGGCACCCCGCGGTGGATGGACTGGGGCTGCTTCGTGTGGCGAGACCAAGGCTGAGCCACCGGCCGACCCAGACGCTATCTCAGAGGAAGAAAAAGAAGAAGAAAGAAGAGGGAGAAAGAGAGAGAGGGGGAGAGTGGAAGAGGGAGCGAGCGAGCGAGCGAGCGAGCGAGCAAAGGAAGACAGGCAAGAAAATCCCCCCAATCTTTTAAGTCAATGCATATTGTGGTGACACCGGCAAAGGAGCCCTCACGGTGGAGTCGGCCAGGGCTGTGCGTTCCCAAAATATGACCAGGGGTGCTTGGATGTGCAGTCGGCAGTATGACGACGGCTTAAAAATCTGGTTCGCATCCCGGGAGAACGAGAAACCCTTCGCGGATTCAGAGAGGGCTCAGAAATGGCGACTGTCCCTGGCATCGCTCTTGTTTTTCACGGTCCTGCTCTCTGATCACTTGTGGTTCTGCGCCGAGGCCAAATTCACGGGCACCGGAGAGAAGGAACAGCCGCCGCCCGACAAGCCGGAGCCCGCGGAGCCGGAGCTGCCGCCGGGCATGGGGGAACCGTCACCCCCCGCGCCCCGGCTCCTCACCCCCCCCGAGCCCTCCCTCCCTCCCTCCCCCGGCAGCGGCGGCGGAGGAGGCAGCGAGCCCCGGCACGGCGAGGCTGCCTTCCTGGGGAACTCCACCGCCGCGCCCCCGGAGACGTGCCCCCCGCCGGGCCGCTCGTCCGGGCGCTGCTTCAGCGTGGGGGACGCCGAGGCGGTGTGCCGGCGGCGGGGAGACCCGGGGCGGCCGCGGGGCGCGGGGCAGAGCCCGGCGCCCGTCTGGGAACTGACGGATTTTTACCTTTCCTTTTGTAATTCCTACACACTTTGGGAGTTGTTCGCCGGGTTGTCCAATCCGGACACTTTGAACTGCAGTCTGGATGTGGTGCTGAGGGGGGGAGGCTCCTGCAGCCAGTGCGTCCAGGCTTACCAGCGCTACGACCAGCACGCTCAGGAGAAATACGAAGAGTTTGAGGTTATGCTCCAGAAGTATTTACAGTCGGATGAGTACTCGGTGAAATCGTGTCCTGAGGATTGTAAGGTAGGAGCCCCTGCTGTGTTTCCTGTCCCTCGGTGGCGGGCTGCCGGGGTGCCTTCCGTCTGTGCGTGTCGCGCCTCCCTCCGCGCGTTGCGCTGTGCTGTGCGGGAGCTCCGCTCTGGGGATGCTCGGGGTGAGCCTGGCGTCGGCGGCCGCTGTCCGCGGGTGGGATCAGCTGGGGACGCTGCGCAGAGCCCCCGGGTGGGCGCTGCTCTAAGGGAGGCAGGCAGAGGGGGAATGTTAAAAAAATAAAAGAGTGATTCTTGGTCCTCTGGGAGTGCAGAGCTGGATTTCCCCCTCGTCATGAATATGCGATTGGCTCCGTCTCGGCTGCCGGCTCGCAGCGGCTGGGATGCAGCTTGGCGGCAGGCAGCGACGGGGTCTGCATGCCAATGAGCGGGGCCCGAGACGGCAGCCAGGGTCGGTGAGGGGCGCGGGGTATCCGGGCTCTGTGTCTTGCCCGAAGGACGGGCGGACCGGCCTCTGGCTGCGGCTGGGGGCTGCGGGTCTGTTCCTGTCTGCGTTTGGCCCGGTGGAGCGGGGACGGGATCTCTGCCTCCAGGTGCTCGGCTGCGTCTGTGGAGAGAGAAGGGCTCGAGAAGGAGGTGGCTGTGTGCGGGGAGTGCTGTATCCTTGGCTGGGAAGTGATGGTGACCCTTGTCTGGTGATGGCATCTCTTTAGGACTCGGTCGTTGGCTTTGGGGCCAGAAGTGAGCGTTCAGATGTCCAAGGAGGTTTTTGGTTTCCTCTGCTGGAAGGCAGAGTCCCACTTTGGTTCTTTGGAGTTGTTGTCTTATCTGTACTTTTGCACAAGATTAGTTGGCCTAACTCTCAAGACAGGAGAGGACGAGAAAAAAGTGTTATCATTTGCACTTTAAATAATTATCTGCATACTATTTTCCCTGTTCGTATATTTACTGAGTGCCAGGCCAGGTGAATGTTTTCTACCCTGTACTGGATTAACTGGATTAACTCACTACATTAACCAATCTGAATCAATCCCGCTTTAGCAGTGGAGCACAACAGTGCGTACAAATCCCTGTGCTGAGCAGAAGGCCTAGCAATGGATCAGTGCTCCGCAACTTCAGCAGGGCCTTCTGAAATCTCTTAACGGTGACAGCACATCCCCAAAGCATCCTACCCATCTTCAGGTAGTGTACTTTACACATATTTGCCTGAAAAATCATTTCCCAGCCCCTCCAGAAGCTGAAATGTCCTGTTATATCATTGGGTAAAACGAGAAAGTTTCCTTTTTCCCCCCCCATTTAACCTGGCAAAAATGAAGTAGTTTCATTAGTAATTTTGACTGCACTGTTTCTGGAGTCATGTATGTTTTATACACTCAGTTACAGGTGGTGTAAATATATTTCCAGAGTGAATCATTTAAGTAAAAAAGCGTAAACTGGATAAATAAAAAGCGTGTCAAATATAAATAGATGTCTACTGCTGTGAGGACATCTTTGCCATTTCAGTAACTCCTTAACCTAGAAATTGACCTACTGCTCTCGGCTGCCAAATGAATCTTCAGGATAGAAGTGATTTTCTTTCATATTGCTATGTAATCAGGCTGAACTTTACCACAAATGGTGCTTTCAGTCTGCAATATATCGTGATATAAAAGATACTGAAAGTGCACGCAGTAACAAATATACAAATATTAATTCCATTTTGGAGACTGAATGAAGATAAATCCTTTTTTAAGCATGGACCAGTAGCTGTTGAAATAAAATGCTTACATGAGATATACAAGCAAACTAAACAAACATAGTGCCAATGATAGACCTTCAGTTCTGAATGCTAGACTTGTCAGTTGATGGAATTGTGTCCTGAGAATCTGGCCAACCAATCTGTGTTAAAAACCGAGATATTCCGGACGGAAAATAATGTTATTAATAATAGCAATGAGAAAAGGGTGCAACTTCGTGTTTTGTAGACTTGCGTGGCGCGGGCCGGGCGCGGGGAGGCCGCTGTCCGTGGTGCTGCAAGGCAGCGCCCGCAGCTGGAGGCTGTTGGAGCCGAGCCGGGCTGCGGGGAGCCGCTCTGTGCCACGTGCGCCCCGAGTTGGTGCTGCAGGTCCCTTTTTGGTTCACTCTGGTCGCTGATGAAGCTGAGTGTTTAGCGGGCCCAGTGCTCTGCTACCACGTGCTTTGATGTTCTTGTACGTGATCTGCTCTGAAGTGTGTGCAGGTGAAGATAGAAACTTGTGGTGACTGGTGAAATAAAATGGTCATTGCTATGTTTCACTGGACTTACTGGTGTTCTATACATATTATACCTAATACATTCAATCAGGACATAGTTTCTTTCTTTCTTTCTTTCTTTCTTTCTTTCTTTCTTTCTTTCTTTCTTTCTTTCTTTCTTTCTTTCTTTCTTTCTTTCTTTCTTTCTTTCTCTCTCTCTCTCTCTCTCTCTCTCTCTCTCTCTTTCTCTCTCTCTCTCTCTCTTTCTTTCTCTCTTTTCTTTTTCGGTACCTAAATATTAATTTTTAGAGCATTGGAGACCTAGATACTTTCTAGCATAAGAATCAGCATTTATGTGTAGAAAATATCTTGACATCTAATTATGCACTTGAGGTACACATTATTTGATTGTTTTATGTGGTGAGCTGCTTTTTATCTTCTATTAAACAAAAATTTAAGAATACTGACTTTACTCTGTTATCATATATGTAAGCACTGGCTTAGTAAAATAAAAAGCTTATTTAATAACATATTTATATTTAAGAGATCATTATTATTGTAGGAGAGCTGCTTCATTCACAGAAGAAAAGAGCTTTTCACATAGGTGACTAGTTATACCTGATGACAAGATAAATAAAATTTACACCGGATACCAGTCAGCCTGAAACTTTTATTCAAGTACTGCTTTCCCTTTCCCCATCTCCTCTCACCTTCATCAATGTCAATTCTCAAAGTAAATAGTCTGGCAAGTTATGTCATTTAATTACATAGTTTTGGTTATAGAAAACAGTTCATATAAAAATAACTTTTATGTACATTTCTAGAACTTCAGCTCTGTATTGTTATTCCTTTACCTGAGACCATAAGAAAAAACTTAAAATACTCTGTGTTCCACTACATGCCTCCTAGTCCCTGAAGAGGATTTTAAATGAAGTGTTTTGCGTTGCAGAAAGTTATTTTCAGTCAGGAGTCATTTAAGTTATCGGTTCATATTCAGCTATCTTACATGGTAATGATTTTTTGTTTTGTTTCTATATATATATATAAAAATAAATGCCTTTTGTAGTCAAGGTCATCTTATTAAACTTCTCATTGGGGTGCATTACCTTAAAAAAAAAAAATGACAGAAAATGCTGAGAATTTGGAATTTGAGAATATTTTGAAAGCTACTATTACTGGTAGTATATTTAACAATGAACATGCATATGCAACTTACGCAATTAAGATTGTCAGTAGACACTGTACATCGTTTAGAAATTCTGGATGTCAGTCTCGTGTCTCTGCAAATCCATCTTCCAGTTACTCTGTAAAAATATTATTGAAGTCTGATGTCTTTACATATGTGTTTTCTTGTTCTGATAATCACATATCAATGATGACAAAACAGTAAATATAGGTAGGACACCTATATGAATGCGTTATGTATCGAATCAGGTGACATAAATAAATTGCTTTAGAGTTACTGAATCATGCAAGTTATGAAGTAATGGAGAATCTGAATCTATGCCTGTTTTCTTGCTTTATTTATTTTTCAAATTTATAAAATTTTACTCTTGTGCATTTAAAACCAATGGTTATGCTTACAGAAATTGTTATTGACAATCTCTATTGTCCTAATGCAAGTTTCCAGAATACCATTTTTACATGCAGCGTGACACAGGACTGCATTCAAACAATTAAAAAAGGACTGTATTGGATTGATGTTAGAAGACAAAGTTCCTCATAATGTCTTGTCAGCTATCTATCAGGGGAAATCCTCAAGTTCTTATTCTTAAAACAGTAGACAATCACTCTCTGAAATAAAATTCTGGCTACTTCTTATTAAAAACTGGGTCAAATAACTAAGTAGGCCATACTCGTGTGAAGTTTTTCTTTCTTTTTTCTTTTCTTTCTTTTTTTTTTTTTTTTCCAGTAATAGAACTTATTTATTTGTGAAAAGTATCTGAGGCCAACACTTTTTTTTTTTTTTTTTTCCAAAATATATTTATTTTTATTGATTGTGTTTGAACAAAACCTCTCTCTTACTGACACATCTTTTTTTTAATCCAGTGAAAGTTCAAAATGCGGCCTGCCTTAGTGTCAGTTAGAATCAGTTAGAATATTGCAAAGAGTAAATCAGGTAAGTGCATCGTAGTTAAAATACATTCAGTTTTGCTACTAGAATATCAAAAGATAAATATAAAGATGTACCAACTTTTTTATTTCAACATTGCTAAAAAGCAAGTATCCTAGATGGTCAACATGTATACACAGAGAACTTTTTTTTTTTTCCTGCAGGAATTAAATGTCATTTAACAACTTTTGATTAGAAGTTTATGATTATGGTATCAGAAATATGTTAGAAAATAGCCGAGTTTTAATACTACTTAGTTGAAAATCATGCATTTCAATAAAGGGTTTCATCATGAAACATAAACTGTACAGTTGGTGGGAACCAAGAGCTGGTTCTTCCGTTATCAGGTTTTCTTGTCTTTCTTTCTTTCTTTCTTTCTTTCTTTCTTTCTTTCTTTCTTTCTTTCTTTCTTTCTTTCTTTCTTTCTTTCTTTCTTTCTTTCTTTCTTTCTTTCTTTCTTTCTTTCTTTCTTTCTTTCCTTCTTTCTTTCTTTCTTTCCTTCTTTCTTTCTTTCTTTCTTTCTTTCTTTCTTTCTTTCTTTCTTTCTTTCTTTCTTTCTCTCTTT